ATGTGACACCATCAAACTGCAATTTAAAAAAAATTGTTTAAAAAAATGTGGATATGACTCAGCGATAATAAACTGAGATAGATGTTAATGACATTTGCCCAATGTGCAAAATGCATCATAATACTGCTTATGAGTAATTTTGAAAAATCGCGATTGGATGATTTTTGTTGTTCATGATGATACATTGTATTGATATACATGTAAGCCCCGCTACATGTATTTTTGTTTGTCCTATATACTGTACATGGATCAAGTGCCAACATGTACCTGGCTCACTTTTTTCTTCAAATTTCGTCAATCAATATGGAACCATTTAGATATAAACACAGTTAGTCAATACACAACAATTTAGTCAGTTATTATTTAATTTGAAAATAATATTTTTGATTAAATCTGCTTTAAAGGTACTATGTCCCATTTGCAGGCCAAAAAAATGAAAAAGTTAAATTCCAACTGCATTTGAAAGATAATACTTATTTAGAACTTCCCTAAAAAAGTGGGACTTGAAAATGTCTTCAGGAGGGAAAATAATGACTATTAGTTGTCAAATCGACTTTAGGGCTATAGAGCCCAAAAGTAATAGTCTTGATTTTCAGACAAGATTCAATCAGTTTAATCTTGGCCATCACAAGAAGTGGGTTATTGATGTAGACAAATGCTCATGTACCCTTTACAACTCTTTTCATGTATGTTATTACCAAAGAAGAAAAAAAGCCAGTCAGTCACTCAATAGTGTCTGACAGTGAAGTCTAGCAAGTAAACGGGTTTCCTTGCATAATTTGAATATGAGGACACTGCTAACGTTTAAATTTCACAGATAGGACATACATGACATATTCATAATTCCTGCAAAGTTCTACAGAATTTGAGGTTGGCTGCAAAAGGGACATAGTACCTTTAATGACTGTAGCCTACCAGTTAGGTTCCTTGTGTAAACAAAGAAGGGCATCACACCTCATTAGTAGCAGTACTGTCTATGCTGAATGCATGTTCATGCAAACACTCTAGATGGGGCAAAGCATGAATAATATATCGGCACATAAAGCAGACACAAAAGAATTACGAAACTCGTAGGTGAACAGACTGTACTTTAGTGTGCACATGTACATGCATAATGTGTGTGTGTGCCATAGGATGTTTGTTGCTAGGAGGAACCCATTGATTTTAGGATTGTGTTACTCAAGGAGTGCTGAAAGGCAGCGAGCTCTCTCAATTTTGACAAATTTACATACAAGTATGTGGATATATCTAGCCTAATGTCACAGCAAATTCAGCATGCACAGATTTTATTATTAATTTGACTTATAAAATTCATTCTCCTGATTATTTTATTTGAGATAACCAAAAATGTACACAAAGGCTACATATTGATCAAATAAATACATACACACATCTGTTGTTGGTTTAGTTTTAATGGTGTGTACATGTATCATTCATTTATGAATATTTACGCTGGTGTGGCAGGCAGGGGATAGCTTTGTAACAAGGCCCCATTTAAATTCGTTTACAAATGAATGTGTGTATATTCCACCAATGTAGTACATGTACATGTCAAATGTCAGACTGAACTATAAAGGTCAAGTACTTTCTAAGGAGAACTTCGGGCAAAAGTCATTCCTGGTTGCTGCATCCTTCATTTTCTGTCCTAAAATACAGAGAGGAATACTGTTTACATGGAGATTATTAAAGAGGGGAGACAAGTAGCATAACCCTGTATATGCAGTCAAGTGCTCAATTCTGTTCTCATTGCAAAGATACACTACATTGTAATACTAAGCTGATATTTTCGCGTGGAGATCTTTTCGCAAAATAACTGCCTGTATGCTTGTAATGCAATGCTGTCGTCTCTATTTGTGCGTGTTGATAAATTTGTGATAATATTAGTACTAGATAGTATGCAGTTTGCGAAATTCGTAAAAAATAAAACCCTCGCAAAAATAATAGCTTATACAGTACATGTACATGTACATGTATACTGGATGTACATTTGTATGTTGCACTACACTGTTGGACAGTGTATGCAGAATTCCTACAAATTATATTATTTGCATTTGCGGTTTTATGCAGTAACAACATTGTGTACTGTAGCAGATCATTGATTTGTTTGTGCATGTATATATCCTCCACTTTTCAGACAGAGATGCTTGTGGTTTTAGTACCTGGTGCTAATTTGCTAATTGGACTTTGAGTTTCGATCATGATTACTAACCCAGGATTTGACCTCAGATACCCTGTATAAAGTTGTGTCTTAGTTGGTAAAGTGTTGTGTACTAATTTACTGAGTCACCAAAACTTGATTCTTTGCCTGATACAAGTATTTTTCATGCCTTGCAAAGTTGCAATGTTGTAAACATGTTGTAAACATGTTTGAGAGTAGAGGAATCAATACCATTCTATTCAGCCAAACATCCTATTGTTCAGACTTGTCTAGAGGACCTTGTTACTTGTAGCACTGGTATTGTGCTGGTATAGTTGGATAGGACTTCTGATTCTTAATCCCTTCCTTTCTGCATTATTAATGGTTGGGCATGCAGTTCATTGACACTCTGATGGATACTGTGTTGAAGGAGTGAGAAGATGATTATATGTAGATTTACATGTTCATGTCTATTTGTTATTAGGCCTATCCTGCTCTAGAAGTAGCTTATATTTCAAGTTTATCGAGCCTCCCTTATTTCTATAGGAAATTAGGAATGTGTACTTTTGTATACTTCATTATGTTTCCCAACTCTTTCCTTTTGCAATTCATTCATTGAAAACAAAGTCTTGATTTCTGTGGACGAGTGGATAAGTCCCCGGACTGTGGAGCACAAGATCCGTGGTTCAAGTCCCGCCGCAGCATTAATGTCCTTTGGCAAGACATTGATCTACCTTTGCCACTCTCCACCCAGGTGTTAAATGGGTACCCGGTAGGATGCGAAAGCTAATGTGGTTAGATTAGCAAGTGTGCGCATGTAAAAATGACACCTGGCTGGAATGCTCCCCAGGGAGTGGAGAATGTGCATACATTGTGTGCGGGTAAGCCTGAATCCAATGACCAGGGTAATAATATACATGTACTTATCTGTAAAGCGCTTTGTGAGGGCCTCCGGTCCTGAAAAGCGCTATATTAGAACGAGCTATTATTATTCTCATGTCTTTATTCAACCATCCTTCCAGCGTTGATTCAATTTCCCTTAAATCACAGGACTCAATGCAGCCCTGTGTTTACTTTGCACATTTCAAACAGGATAATCCAAGAGGATTTGAAAGCTATTAGCTAAATAAATATTTGATTTGTACACCAATTATTACTTTCAGGCAAGTAAATTGGAGAATGCTATTAGATAGCATCATGCCAAAACCTGTGTTAGCAGGATTTGTATAAAAGAAAGGAAATATCTCTTCATACACTGTTAGCAAAACAACATACTTTTTTGTTTGAAAAAAAAAAGAGACATTGCATGCCATTAAATGTACTATTCATCTACTGTATTGTAGATGTTGTTAAATCAGTCCATAAGGTGATGGTAAGCATTACATTTACATTTGTACATAGGGATGACAATGGTAGGCCTATATGTTTTTGTGAAAAAATTGTATTGTGGTGACTATAGAATTCTTAAATAAACACAAATTCATAAGCATTGTAGCTTCCTTTACAAACATTCCAAAATATTTATATACTGTAAACGCGTAAATATTTGTGGTACATAAATTTTCTCACTAAAGTTGATGTCCGCGAATTTTAGAACTCGCAAAAATATAAACACTACTTCTGATGCCTGTTCTGAAGGGGCTAAAGTTGGTGCAATGTGAATTTACGAACCAGCGAATATGTTTTGGGGTTGCTCAGTGCGTGAAATTAATCGCACAAAAATAACAGTGTTTACAGAACTGTTTATTAAGTATCGTCTCCCTTCTGTCAAAATCTTTACTGAATGTTCACATGCACATTATTCAAAATCTGTTTACTTAAACATGATAGTTTTGCGTTGTGCATATTTCTATTAATAGTATGATGTCATTGCTTTAGGAATGAGTCAGCGATGGGGTTTACCAGGACTGGTCTTACTATTATTTATTGCTTGTACACACACACATCTACTCCAGCTATCCCAGCCCCACCCTCTCTCCCACAAGGCAAGGAGATAGTGTTTGTGATGGTCATCTCATCTGCTTCGGTGACTAGATACTCATTAACATTTTAATGGTGTGAAGCTCTCTGTCTCTGACCATCTCACAGAATGATTCATCCACACAGCATGAAAGAAAAGAGGGAACATTTTTGGGATTGGTAATGACGATTCAGTCACCTCCTTCATGGAGCTAACAAAAACAGAATGCTGTGCTTCCATGCTGGGAGTTGAATGTACTTTATTTTTTTTAGTAGCGATTAAAAGAAAATAGGCTGTGACATTTCAACTGCAGAAAAGAGCTCAACTTGTCAAAATTATTTTAACTGGTATTTTCTCCCTGATATACATGTAGACCTGTAAAAGTATTAGTGATCCGCATCTATGGCTTCTAGGCTTATAATGTTGAAAATAATACTTAAATGCTCATGTAGGCCTTCATCTCAAGATCATATGTGCATATGATGAGATAATGGAAAGAGACCAGTATCAAAAGTATTGCATAATGGCCCATGCAACCCAATGTCACAAAGCAGAGAAGAATCATGTCATGTTATGAATTTGTGATTTGTCAGCCATCTGGCTGTAGATAAAGCATGTAGAAGTCAGGCTTGGGCACCCACGCATATCCAATTAAAGATCAAAGTTGGTAGCAGTTTTGGTAGCAAGCTGAGGCCAAAGATGATTCATCCAATTCTTCTGCATTTTTAACTATCAAACATCCAGCTTTCCTCATATTAGTTTACCAATATTACAGTAAGGGGTATTGGACTTGTTTAAAAAAGAAGTAATTACATGTATGCATCGATAATGTATTAAAGAGAGAAATTTGTTGTGGGGGAGGGGTCTTTTTAATAATTGTTTTAAATGGATGAGGTAGAGCTGCAGTGTATTTAACAAAGGATCATTGATTATATTTGATGTAGACTGATTGTTTTTAATTTATTCATCAATACTCTATCAAGGAAAACACTACACAGTGATACAGTGTGCGCATACATTTTACATGCCAGCAGCAATTAGCTAAATTTGATCTGTGGTATTGACATGCATTCAAAGGGCAGAGATCATTAACGAGAGGTCATCCCATACGATAGTCAGACCGCTGCCTGTGGTACTCCCAGCCATCTATTTATTTCCTCTGCTATTTCAAGCACTTGGCATATACATGGAGTTCTTGAAGGTATGCCCTTTCAGGAAGGAGATTCATTCGGCCGGAGGAGGTTGCAAGCGACGGATAGCAAAGCAGGATTGCTGCCTGCTTTGAAAACCCAGTCAGCCGATTTGCGCTAGGCTTAGGTGGGGAAGTTATGGGGCCATTTGCAATCTGGAGGAGATTTTGACGATGTCATGGGACAGACGTGATGTGACTTCACCAGCAGAGTAAATCTGATGGACTAGCTGTCATCGTGTCAACTGCCAAATGAGTGGTAGTGTTTCATGACTTGTTTGCTCATACTGATGTGAATTATGGAACAGCAGCTAAAGATTCCTTTGGACCCTTTTATGATGTGCCTTCATGAAGCTCCTCCCAGATAGTTGGAATGATCATACAAGCACACTTTGCAGTCTGTCTTCTTGTGTAATAATGGAATTTAGCAAGTGACTAGTGATTGATTCTCTGTCTTGTTGCTGTGCCTTGGTGATTTTGAGATGAGTCTCCCTTTTGGGACGAGAGGTATGAAGAACTACAGCAGCTATAACAAGTACAGGCCCAGTACCGGCAAAGGGGCATCATGGATGCAAAGGGAAACAGCCTCCCTTCCTCTTCCTTCAGTAAGTTTTGATAACAAAATTATTTCACTTACAATATAAGAGGTGTTTATGCATACTAGATAATTATATTTAGTCTTTTTTCAACATACTATTTACAGTCGATCTTATCCCTGCCAAGTGGAAGTGGACCCTGATTCTTTTATCAAGGTTTTAGTAAAAACAATGCCCATACTCTGTTTTGGTGTGTGGCCTTTCATTGAACAACGTTCAAACTGGATACCTTTAAAGTGACTCGGTAACTTTGCCTGAGATTCTGAAACAAAATCCTGGATTTAGCTCATGCTGCAATCATAATTATAAACCTGTAGGTCAGTCAGGAACCCCATGACTTTTACATGGAAATCAAAATTTCATTTTTTGTTACCCTAATAGTTTTTATAACACTACAGTCCAATGGGGAAAATGAGTATGTTAAAACCGATCACTCAAAGATTTTTACTTTTTTGAGGCACTTCATGATCATTTTGAAGCGCAATTTTTGTAGGGCCATGCATCTCAGATTTAACATTGTTAAATGATGCCTTTAAAGTACTATAGCTATACACAGAATTTTGGTGGGGGTTGGGGTTAGAGAACCTAGATCAAGACTGTGTTGAGATGAAGTGTTATAATGTCAAATGATTTCCAATGCTGAGGCGTGCTGTAGTCTAACTGGGATTATAGTTATTGCGATGAGTCATCTTATGCCTAAGTCTTTCTCCATCTCATTGTAAGCCAATGATTACATAACCACTCGTAGGGAAGCTTCCCCACCTTTTACTCGTTTTTTTGGTCATCATTGTAGAACTATAGCTTGTGTAATATTGATTAAGTTTTTATATTTTTTAATTAAGAATATACATTTACATGTAGGCCCTATTATAAACATGCAGGTCTACTTGTGTGTACTTTATTAGAACTTAACTTTAAAGACCTTCTCTGATGAAAATACAACTACACTATGGCTCATAAGCTTCAGTTTGATGATTTATCCATTTCACTTTTCAGTTCAGAGATGGTCTTTAAATGTACTTCCAATGAACATGTATGTAAACGGTGAAGATATTCCTATAAGAATACATGTACACCTTATACATGTAATTTTGTGTTGATAATTACTGTTGTACTGGGTACACATTTACTGTCCTCTTAAAATATTTTACTCAAGAATTGAATATATTCATTGACTATGGTTGGTACAAACATGCATTTTCTGGTACAAAATTAAACCTCTTTATGCCCAACCTTAAATCATATCTATAATAGTAATACGCTAAGGCTCCGCGGGGGGCGCGACGTCTCCGCCAGCCTTTGTATTCTATTGTTTTTTAATGAGATCGCCGACCCAAGTTGGTGCGGCTATCTCCTCCTGAACCCTCCCCTCGGGGTACCGGTGACCGGTGCCGTCGTCCGCGGGAGAGTCTACTCTAGCGAATTGGCTATACTCCGCCCGAGGTCCTCCTCCGTGTCGACGTCCAGGGCGAAAACAGACGCGACATGCATAATGCAGGATATGCGTGACGACAGAGATACCTCATGGATATTCAACATAACATCCGTAGACACACGACCGATGACTGTCCACTCACATTAAGTTGCGTATTAAATGCACGACGCACAGGGTCGGGCTTACCCGAGTAAAGCATCTTTCTATAGGATATCCATTGTATAGTAGCTGCACGAGCCACAGAGATACACACGAAGCTTCCCGTCCACGTCCAAACTTAGGGACCTATTTCCATCATTATTGCCGCGATTTTTATATAGGTGTCGTGAATGGAGGTATGAAATGAAAGCTTATTTTGTGATTATTACGGCCATGCTACTAAATTTTGATTATCATTTTCTAAAGGAAAGTTTTCACAAGAAAACCATTGGACTGACAATTCAGTCGCAAGCTGCCTTCAGTCAGTGCAGTGCTGCTGTGCAGTGTGTGTGAGCTGCAATTTAACTCCAGCAAGCTCCAACACCGGCTCCGCACACCGCAGGCGTCCGAGGCCTGCGGCGCCGGTGTTCGAGCTTTCTGGAGTAACACTGTGTGTGTGTGTGTGTGTGATTTCAGCTGAGCTGAGCTCGAGTCGAATAGATTTGACACTTTGAAATTGTTATCTGTTGGTTTGCATCATTATTGCCGCGATTTCAATATAGTTTCGTGAATAGATTTACGAAACCTGATCTTAGAATTAGTAAAAGTATTACTAATGTTTACGTTTTTAAACGACTGTCTGATTTTCTTGTGAAAATTTTACTTTGAAAAATGATTATCGAAATTCATGGTCAGAAATAATCACAATCTAGGGTCTATTATGTTACAGTTCTTGCATCAAATCAATGCATGAAAACTTAGTTATTGAACTAGAAAAATGTTTTTTTTTTTAAATAGGCAATTATGAAGTATAGGAAGCCTGAAACCTGTCCTGAGCCTACTAAACAAATCTCAACAAAGTGTAGGCCTATCCTTTTATGAATTAATGAAAAAGTAGCCCCAGAAAAAAGAGCCCCGAAAGTTGGAAAAAGTAGTCCCGAAAATTTCCCAAAAATTTGAAATGGAGCCCCCGAAATGAAAAACTTAATTTTTTGCCTGCGCCCCCCTCTAGAATCCCTCGGATTTCCGCGGGTCCTGAGTTGAGTGTATATATAATATACGCGTGCAGTGGGGTCCACGGGTTTCAAGGGGCCATAAAAACCCCAAAAGCTCGGGGGTTACGTTCTTCAAAGTTGGGGGGGGGGGTGTGGGAGATCGAGATCGCAGCGAGTTGAGTGTATATATAATATAGGCGTGGGGTCCACGGGTTTCAAGAGTCCATAAACCCCCGAAAGCTCGGGGGGTTTAGGTGTTTAATTAGGGTCAGATGAGCATATTTTTAATACTTTATTTGTGACACTTGCGGGTCACTAATTGGCGTGGGGTCAATACGTAGAGTTGCGTAGTGTTGCGTACAAACTACGCTGGCCTACGTTACTATATGCTGAGGAACGAAAAGGGGTACGCAAGATGAAAGAAAACAATTCAACATGTTTAATTTTTTTTGCGTACTTTCGGCGTAGAAACTTGACGCAGAAAGCAGCCTTTTTACGCAACACTACGCTACATGCCTACGCAACAGTACGCTACCCTACGCCAGATCGACAAAGCAGTAAAAGCTTTCCACACAGTAAGCAACCATAAGCAAACCTGTACGCCAGCCTACGCATAACCTACGCAGGGACTATTTTCCCATTAATACGCAGCCTAATTTCTGCATAGTCGGTACGCCACACTACGGAACTCTACGCAGTTCCAGTGGCTTAAAGAATAATTACCGGTACAGTTGGATCGTTTTTTTAATTTTTATATAAGGCCAAATTAAAAAAAAAACATTTTTAGCATCCTGTTTTTTCGAAAAATGGGAAGGAGGAGGCCCTTTTTTTTTTTCTTTCAAAATGGCCGCTCCGTACATTTTTCCCTGACATTCGGGCTATTTTTCAAGATGGCGGCCGACAATTTTTTTTTTCTTATTTAAAATCAGAAATACATTTTAGCAGTGCTTTTCATGTTTTTTTTCTTTCAAAAAAAAAAAAAAAAAAAATAGGAGGCGGCCCCCCAAAAAGGAAGCAGGCGGGGACGCTGTTTTTTTTTCTTTCAAAAAAAAAAAAATAGGAGGCGGCCCCCAAAAAGGAAGCGGGCGGGGACGCTAAACATGTATATTTTTTTAATGGCCTGAATGGCAAATAAAGTTCTTGGTGGTTTTAATTTAGACAGTCTCTATATATCTATTTACACCCCCCCCCCCCCCCCCCCCCCCCCCCCGCCCACCTCTAGAATCCCGCGGATTTCCGCGGGTCCTGCTAGTCATATTATATTAACTTAACTGAGACGGTACAGTACTTGCCATTTTGTTTTACCATGGAAGCAAAAAGGATTAGTAATAGTTGTTTTACTTGAAGAAAATACTTGATTTCAACAGATGGAATGCCATTTCTCATGAACCGGTATGTGAAAGTCTTGTTAGCAGGAATCTGCCCATCAATTATTTTTCATCCCTCAAATGGAATCTTATCACATGGGCTAAAGATTACTATAATCTCTAGCTAATAATTCCTATCTTCTGTGACACACAAATGTATTCTCTATACTTCCAGAGTGCCAGTCATACTCCCATTACTCAAAGTACACAAAGACATGACCTTAGAATTAGAGATGTTGCTATTTCCAGCAGATTATTTATGATGACCCTCATGCAATCGCCTTGGCCAACATCTTGTAGATATGATTTTATTTTGGGGCCTCTCAAAACACGCACACTCATTCATAGAATTTCTTTCCTCTGGTAATGCACACAGAAAGCTGTATCTTTCTGACGTCAACCAAATCGGAGAGTTGGTGAGTGATTGAAAAAGACGAAGATACTGAAGATGAAATTCATGTCAGCTTTTTCATTTTCATATCCGTACAGTTGAATACAGATGTTAGCCCTATGCTACAAATAGATTAATCTCTACATCGTGTGATTAATTTAACAGCGCAACAATGTTCACCGATGCTAGAAACTTATTAATTTTTGTATAGAGAAGATACAACTACTTTGAAAATGTAATTTTATTAATGTTTTTTTTTAAATTGTAAGTTTTACTGTTGCTTTAATTGCACAGAAAAGGACAAGCAAAAACGAAAAGACAAAAATGAGAGTTTTGCTAAAACAAATTCGTTGTGGGTGCTGCTTAAAAAATACCTTGCTTGCACCCCCAACAATCTAACAGTTATCATGCCTTTATTGATATGAGTCTTCCATGTAAACATCATGCATGGAAAGAACTTCCTGAGATAAAAAAATTGAAAGGGTCTCAGCACAGCAGATAAATGGTAGCAAAATGAAGCCTGTAGTTTGACAAGGGATGTCACAATGACTTTGTGTATTGTGATAAAAGGACTTTAATGAGAGGGATGAGTGGGAGAGAGGGAGATGGGAGTGGGGGAGATTTGAGAGGATGTTGAGAGGAATTTTTTTAGGAAGATGTACAATGGAGGGAGAGTCGGGAGG